TATATATATATATATAGGGTACAAATTCTTGTTGGTTCTTTTGTCAAAAGAGATGCAATTTTTATAAGGAAAACGACGAATAATTCTACTCCATGTTTTTTTTTTGGTTTCTTTCTGGATACAGAAAATCTTGGGCACCGGATTGAACAAAACAAGAAGGAATAGCAACTGGGAGAAACGGCCTTTAACTCAGTTTCAGGTTTATATGATATATGTTTATACATTTTATTTTATCATGGATAAACAGGAAGTGCTAGTATATGTGGAAAAGCTTCCAGCAAATGAAATGTATTTATTTTAATTGTCTATTCTGCTGTATTTTCTAAAGAAATGAGATCAAGAAGCTAGTGACTTTGTCCTTGTGAACTGATAAAATCTGATGTTACCATTCTCCAAAAAAAAGTGAATGATAAGATCTGATCCTTGTGCAGGTAAATAGTGATTTTGGCTTATGGTTCTGTATTATTAGATAGTAATACCTCTTATTTCTACGGTTGTGCAGCTAGAATATGCTGCTCTTGATGCTGCTGTTCTTATTCACATATTTCGTCATGTTCGAGACTATACACAACCTGCTGGTGACCGTGGTGGGCTTTCCAAATTGGAGTGGAAGTCTCACATTGTACGAATAGAGTACCTCTTCCCTCGTCTCTGTTTTTTTCCTCTTAAGACGTTCATTCTCATCAGGCTCAGTAGGCATTCACTGTATGTTACTACTTCTATCAATAAATTTTTGTACGCTCACGTTAACTTGTGCTTAATATTTTTGCAGGTTTCCCATATTGATAATTCAAAAATTTCAAAAAAGGAAGCTAAAAGGCGAAAGGCCAAAGCTGATAAAGCTCCACAAAGCATCAAATCTAAGGAGCTTTTTGAACAAACTTAAACTTAAAGCTAGGAAATATAGTTATGATACACCTCAATTTTACTCTCTAAGTATTTTTCTGAGAAACATGTTAACAGCTTAAACTGTTGCTGGTTTGTGTGTATATAGAATAGCATAGCATTAGTAGAAAAATACTACTTGGTAAAGCTTCAGTTGCTAATCTTTAGTACTTATTACTAGCTTCTGTGCGTATACTTTCAAGTTTTCGAGTTTGTTAGATGGCTTATTTAGAGGACCTTTTGTGAATCAACCGATCTTTGCATTTGTGGTACTGACGCGGCTACTGTCTATTGAGAACCATTTATTGCTGGTTCAAAACTATTTCCAATGGTGTACGCGGAATGTTGCACAGACAGCGTCAACATATTGTCGCAATTCGTCTTAAAATTTTGTCTATACAATCTTGGAATTGTCTATAAGAACACCTAAAAGTCTCCCAATTAATGCACCAGCGGCGGAAGTAGCTTTTTAGCTTGCCGAATGGGGGTGTGCGCGCGTCTCTGTGTGTGTGTGAGAGAGAAAGCCATTGAATTTTAATAAATATTATATTTTGAATATACAATTTCAAATATTCAATTTGTTTAGTGTTAGTAACTTGAAATATTGAACTCATCGTAGATGATGATGTACGTCGAGAAGGCTAGTCATTGTTGCTGTATGTGGAATAGTTTAAGAACATAACAAAACTTGCCAAAAACTATTAATCTTTATATTCCCCTAAAAATTGATGGATTAAGTTGTTTAAGAGTTAAGACCTACGGTATCCCGGAGGTCAAATGGTCAAATTTCCGATAAATCCTGAAGTCAAAACCTTATACTCCCTTCATTTCAAATTAGATGATATCGAGAGTCAAACAGTATAAAATTTGATCAATATTTTAAAATAAATTTTTTAATCATACTAATATGAGAAAAATTGCAACTTATAGTATTTCTCATACCGTTTTTGAATATCTAAATTTTAATTTTAAAATATTGAGTTGAGTTAATCCAATTTAGCTTTAAAGTTTAATTAAATTAACTTTCGATAAACGAAATGTATCATCTAAATTGAAACATAGGGATGATAATAAGTACTTTTTTGTGGTGTCCAGCAAATCTTACGTGTTTGCACTCTCTGCCTATCGATGGTTAATGTGACCATTTTCACCATTGAATCAGACTAATTTAATTTAATTTTTAAGTTAAAATTGAAATAGTCATATATTTCATGAAATATTACTACTAGTCATAATTTTTCATAGTAACATTTTGGAATAGAAGATAAATATTTTTATAGTATGAGAATTTTGTACACTTTTTAGTTAGCCCAACCAATGTTTATGAACCTCCGCCCGAGTAATCGTCTATATATTAGCAGTCCAACATTTCTAAAGCCTTAATCTTCTCTCCTCCATTCCTCTCTGTCTCTCTAACCACAAAACCATCACAAAAGACTCAGAGAGAGAGAGAGAGAGAGAGACAGAGAGAAAGAGGAAAGAAGAAGAAAATGGAAGATTTCGCTTTAGCTCATCGGAGATATGTGAACAGCGGACAAAGGATAGGAATAATCGATGACAAAGCCTATGCAGTTAATAACATCTACGTTGTTCGAGCACATCATCATTTTCCGACAACAACATCGGCGGATATGATGCCTTCTCATAAGTACCAAATCTCAAAGTCAAGTAACTATCAATTACCAGAGAATCGGCCATGGTATTCAACGCCTGAGCTTAAAAGGAAGAAGAGGGTGGCCAAATATAAGATATATTCCATGGAAGGAAAAGTCAAGAAATCTTTCAAAAATGGTTATCGTTGGTTCAAACACACTTGCTCTAGAATTATTCATGGCTTCTAATTTAATTTCTTCGTCTAGGCATGTAATTTGTTTGTTTTCTTTTATGTAATATTCGTGCATGTTTACATGCATGGTGTTATGACAATTACGTTATTGTATTTCTTCAACAGCTGTATTTCTTCCTTCGTCATTTTCTTTTTTCTTTTGGTTAATTTCCTCGAAAACGTAATTCCCTGGTGTACATGTGGATTTGATTGTGCAATTCTAGTGGCTCCCTTTCACATTTAATATTTGTCGTTTTATGTTTGAATTTTTTGTTTTAGAATTTATTAGAGGATCAGGAAATGAAAGAAAGATGGTTTGAAAAGACTTCAGGAGCCTTCGCATAGTCATACATATAAAATAGATTTTCTAATAAAAATATAGAGTCTAAACAAAAGTTAGTGGGTTCGGACGAGTCCGAGGTACCATTATGTGAGATATTTTCCGAGGTACCATTAAACTGGAAGTCTTGATAGTGCATTATATGAGTTATTATTGTGTAGGTAGAAGAAGCAAGAATCGGGTGTTATTCGGTTTGTGTTTTAATTTAAATAGGATCCTTTTTGTCTTTATTCAAAGAATATGAGCAATATTTCAACAATCTTCCTTACTCCTTTTGACGTTACGTTTTCTCTGCTGAATGCTGAGATTAATGCCAATGAGGAGGTCTGTTTTGATCGAGGTTGATCATCTGATAATGGAAGTGTCAGAGCTATTAGTAATAAATGGATTTAAAATCTTTAAGGAGGTTAGAAGTAGAAAAAGTAGTTATTATTTGGTAACATATATATAATTAATGTCTCTTGCAACTAGGATTTCAAGGGTCAATTTAGACATTAACTATCATTTAGAATGACATCAATTGTTGATGCATTTCCCTCTTGGAGATAATTAAGATTTTAAGTTTTAAAAGCTACATTTCAAGTTGTTACAAAATATACAAATTTTAAGAAAAAATGACGCAGAAATGCATAGGAGGGAATATTTTGAAAGAATATTCAGTCCAAAATAGCGACCATTTAATAAGTACTGCAAGTCTACAAATTAATAACACATAAACTTAATAAATAGTAGCTGGTAGTTAGATGAATTGGAGTCATTACCAAGGTCTCTTTAATTACATCATCTATAAACCCTCACCTTTGAGAGTAGATAACGGTTGATTAGTTTAGTAACGGTTGGTATAACAAATGAAACTGTTTAATTAAGGACTATAGATTATTCTCTTATTGTCACATCATAATTAACTATAAACTGTAGTGTATCTTGAACATATATGGTAATAAGAGGCGCGGAGTTAGAATTTGAACTTTATGGATTTTGGATTATAATCATTTTAAGTTATTGAGTTTTAAATTAATAATTTGTACATATTCATTGAATTTCTCAATACAAATACAGGATTTGAACAAAACCTATTGGGTTCGACCGAACCCGCAACTAACATCGTGAATCCGCCCCTGATGGTAATGAAAGTATAGCGTAGAAATGGAGAAAAAAATTACCCACGGAATGTTTACGTTAAATCATACAATCTATACAACGACATGTACTTATTGAGTTTGTGGAGACAATGTTATATAATTTTCCCCTCATAAAAGTAGGTAGGGTAGTAGAGAAAAGGACAATGATTTAGTAATGAACAAGTTTAAGGACCACAAGATCCGGAAAAAACAAAAATTCGTGCGGAAATTTTATTAAATTTTGTGTTTCTCTAATTTTAGCTCTAAATCATTAGAAGTATGTATCTAAATGATATCAAAATTTCTTTTACTTACCAAATGGATGTACGTTGTTTTTCTGGATGAAATATTTTCCTATATAACTGTCGCGATTTTGGTTATCATCTTCTTTATTTTATTTTCCAGCCACCTTGCCTAGAAATGATAGATACAGATAATCTCAAGGTTTCAAAATAATAATTTGATATGTACAGAAAGAATAGAAAATGCAGTATAACTTTAAAACTTAGTATTTATTGTTTCACGGAATAAAATAGAGCTAATTGTTAAAAATCATACAATTTTTTATGCCCAAAAAATAATTGTTAAAAAAAATCTAGGAACAACTACACGGTATAGTCGCCATTCAAATAATATCTGACAAAGGTATATTTGTTATAAATTAATGGATTATATATATATATATATAATCAGTATATATTTTAGGACAAAATACAAAATCGGTCGGTCGACCAAAACTAATTGCATTCGCTAGCCAAAAAGTGTATAAAACATATTATATGTATATAATACACATAGATAAAAAAAAATGTTGGATATTATTTTTGAAATTTCTAATAATATATTCTTTCTATATTTTTTATATATTTAACGAGCAATTTAATTATTTTGAACAACCGGTCAAATGTGTTAAAAGCCCAAAAAACTAGGGTGACAGACTCACGTCTAAGCGGGAACTTTACATAACTATCACAGTTAAAAATAAATATAACAAATTTTTAGCATGAAATCCAATATTACAGCTGTGGCAGGAAAATATTTATATTTGTAGCACACGGTTCCATTAAAATAGGAATATTAATTATTAATCCCTAAACATAAGCAATTTGAATGGAAAGTCAATAATTTTTTGTACAAAAATCATGCCTTTTTTCTCTCTTTATCTATTAGCTTTCCTTCTTTTTCTTCATCTTCTTAATTTTATTTTTTGCCGAAGCCAATATATTTTTTAAATTTGTTCCATTCGTTTTCTTTTTAATTATCTTTCTTAAGTTTTTCTCTTCCTTCTTTCTTCCTTTCTTAACATAAAGATCTTATTTCGATAATAATATACGTTAATATATACAAAATGAATATATAAAAAATATACATTGAATTAGCACATATAAAATATACATAAAAAACACATCTTCAATTAAGATGACACTTAGACATGTGAAATATACATAAAAATATATCTTAAATTTAATTAAGATGGCATATAAATATAAAAAAAAATACATCCTAAATTAAAATGGCACTTGACATATAAAATATATTTGAAATATGCATTAAAAATACATCTTAAAATAAGATGGCACTTCACAAATAAATATACAAAAATTATATACATAAAAATATATTTTGAATTAAAGTAATATTTGATATACAAAGTATAAAAGACGTATAAATCAATACATCTTGAATTTAGGTGGTATTCACATATGCATCAGATTTTCAAAAATGGAGTGAAGAAGATGAATGTTGGAAAGGGAGAATGGAGATGGACAAAAAAAGTACTTCCCATGATTAGTGAGTCAGTTAACTTATTAAATGTTGAGCTTAATTTTTATAATATGCTAATAATGAAGAAAAAAGTGTCACGCCCCAAACTCGAGGAGCACGACCGGCGCTCAACGGTGTGAACCCGGTCAAGCAAGCATGTAGAATACTTTTTACCCAAACTCACCC